AGTTTGAGATTAGAGAAATTGGTCGATAATTGGTAAGCACATCTCTTGATCTGTTTTTAAGTATTGGAATGACTTTGGATATCTTGAGAATTTTAGGAAAAGTACTATTGCGAATACAAATATTGAAAAGTACTGAAACAACCAAAATACGTTATAAATTGACAGCTTTTTGTGTGATCGTTCAGACAAAACACACAACAAAAGTTTTAGGGTCTAATATAAATATTTACATGCAATATCATTTTTATATACAGTGTGATTTATAAAAGTGCTATGGAATAAAGTTGTATTTTTTAAATGGAACACCGTGCGTATTTTTAGTGAACCTTTTTGTGACGCCAAATACGTATGGCCTTTCGTACTTATTTCCACAGTTTGGCGAGAAACTTAAATTTTGTGTGTCATCTATTCATATGTATCTGAGTTCAAACCAGTTTTCATCAAGCCGCCTATGCAATCTGGCATAGGGAGAGATACATATCGTCGTACAGGCGTAAATGACAAAAAATATCATAAATTGAGTTACGCAGTAATTTCACATATTTTTTGTGGTCTCTCACTTCACGAAGTGACGTAACTGTATATCAGTTCGCTGCTTGAAAATAAAATTCCGAAAACAATTTTCACGTACCGGCTCAAATAGGTTTACGTCTCTGCGTTAAAACTGGTTTTCTGTATTTGACCGATAGTTATACAGTACGTGCCGGTGTATGTGTCTCTAATAATATTTATAATTATCATTATAATATTGTTGTGTTGTTATGAATGCCGACTTAAACAAAATGTTTATATTTCTTGTCATTTACATTCTGTTTGAAGAGAAGAAAACCATTTTTATTTTTGAAACAGTATTTTCGATACAGTGATAAACATGTCCAGTTTCAAATTGTTGGCGTAACTACACAATACAAGAAACAAGAGTCGTCATAAAGTGGCGTAAATGTACAATCCTCAAATTTTTTCCTAAAACTTATTTTTCTTTTACAAAATTAAACCATCCCAAAACAAAGTTTTACGTAATTTTAGCCTCATCGTGAGAACAGTAATTTAAAAACTCACAAGAAACGTCTAAATTTCACAGCTCTATGAGAAGCGTTTTTCCTTTATCTTTATAAGTATTGTTTCAGTACGCATACCAGCAAGTGAGTCTCCAAGCTATTTATTCTGTAATCAATATCTAAAATTACCGACGGTATTTCTTTATAAGTTTGGTGACATCAGATATTTGATTGTATATTGAGCAAGGCTGAGTTAACTTGTACATTTGGAGAACAGTTTGATGCTTACTGAATGTACGCGGATGTCATTGTTATTATTATTATATAAACGTGAAAACAAGAAACCCGCCTCAGAAGGTTTCGAAGTACCACCCTGTAGCGCTATTATTCTGTTCTTCAAATTTTAAAAAAAATTACAGCATCAATTTGAAATTTCAATAAAATGAACACGTTTACCTCAAGTTTCGTCGTAAATACCTACCGTATTTCACGTTCTTGAAATAAAACTGAATGTATCAAAAATTGACGTCAGGCATCAGTTAATATTTATTTTCGGATCGCATATGACATTGCGGCATTGAAAGTTCTGTTTTATTTCTTACATTAGATGGAAAGGCAAGTTATATCTCAAGAGATATAACTTATTGATACAGCTCCACCAGAAGTTAGTAAAGATGAATAGCTGTTTTTAAGTGACTAGGATGAACTACAAGTGGATGAAATTCCAGTCAGTGAATTGGAAAACCTAGAAAAAGGTATAGCTCGGGCTGTTCAGATAAACAAGCTAATAATGATAATATTATTTGTAGCGATGACGATGATCTACCTGCACCAAGTGTTGTACATCATCTTGGCGGAAGGTTATTCCCAAAGGCTCAGAGAAACAAATCCCTAATTTCAGTAGCCCTAACAAGTCACGTGGCTCTATCAAAACTCATTATAATATAAATCTAATCTGTATTGCAGTCAGGGTGTCCCAGAAATAACCGTCGCACCGTATATTGGCTTCAGATCAATCAGATAAAATCAACACGACCTTAGTAAAAGTTTTCTAGTTTTCGAGATATTGCAGCTTTTATGTTTTTTCAAGGAACCGCAGCTTTTGGGCCTTTTTTGCCTGTTATGGCTATAAAGAACTTCTAACTTACGTTCTTTTCCTGAGCTGCAATGAGTATCTATTTCATTGAAAACTATCACGGTATGCTAGAAAAAAAACAAACAATCCATCATCTCGAAGCATTTGCCACACTTTAGTATTGAGACTTGCACTTGTCTAGCCACTTGCCTAGTGCTTAGTGAAGGCTTTTCTTATACAAGATTCAATACTCCTTCCTCAGTTTTGCACCATTCGGGGTTGTCTATGGGTCCTGAACTATAACGTCTCACGGATCATTCTGAAGACACTCACCATAAACTAAAATCAGTTCGAGCCTTGTGTTTTTTTTTTTTTGAAGAAATAAATAACTATTTTGCGTACCTACGCTAATGGCGACTGGCTTATATTAAAAGTCATTGGAGATACGCTGATACCTCACAAAGTCAAGTAACGTCATTAAATTACACTTCAAGCATAATGCATAATATATAGATAATATAGTGCCCACCTCGTATGAGTATATGGCGTCTGCTACCTCGGATCCACTACCAAAGGTGGAGCACGGCCAATGCGAGCGATAGGTACGCGAAGCTTCAAGGTCAAATGTACGGGGAAGTCTATGGTACGTGAAATATGTCTAATGGTGCGTAGGGTTACGGGGGGTTGGTAGTGTATGAATACATTAAGATTAAAAATTGCGACACACTCTGCCCCAGCCACCCATAACCCCCCACTCCCCAAAAAGATTTTCAAAAATGATCAGCATTCTCTGAAACGTCAAAATATGAATGAAGTATAAGAGATTTCATTTTTTTTCATTGTTGGCATTTTTCTTCGCCGTCATTGAACCGATTCTCAAAAACTACAAAGCTTTTTCGTTCCTGGCATAGTAGTAACCTTATCTGAAAGTTCCATCCAAAATCGACCATTACTTTTTAAGTTATACACGAGCCGAGGATTTGCGGACAGATCGACAGACTGACAAACCGACGGCGCTGAGTGACATGGTTTTTCGTGAAGTACGTGTCATATAACACCGAAAAAAAAATTATATCTCAATTTAGAAAATTTTCGCGATCACAGTATTTTCTCGCCAATAGGCGTGGAAATCAAAAAAGTAGAACTCCTCCAATAGACATCATGAGTCAAGAGAAATATAAGGAAATTCGCAGATTTATACATTTTAATAATAACGTTAACCATACGACATATGAACGCTCAAAACTAGCTTAGTGCTTGTAGAATCATATACGCAGAATTTTTTATTAAGGAAACAACTAATTGTAACTGTAGTAATAGTATTTTGTATAGAATGAAAATCTGTTTCCGCCATGATTGTTTTTTTTTCAATCCAACAACAAAGTTAAGGATTAAGGGGTAAATAAGAAAACGGTGTGGCATCTTACCTGGTAGAGGACGAACCACCTTAGTTGCCACTTGTTGCTATCTGCAGATCTCTTGTGCAAATATCCAGCTTGACTGTGGTCGAAGTGGGCTCTCTCTGATAGCATGATGAGCTGGTTCTCGTTGACACGGATCTGTCTTTGCATCTTCGGACTCAACATTGTTGCTGTGGAACCGTACTATTCGAGCCTGAAACAATGTTTGTCGAACTTAAATGGAAGTCAAGGTATACAGAATACCAGATGGTAAAGCCCCTAATTGGTAAAACCATGTTAATTTTGGATATAAAACACATGTATCGAAATGTATCCAAAAACCTAAGGCAACTACATCCTCAAAAAAGGTGTTTATCTAGAGATATCAAAGTTCAGTTATCTAACTCCTTGGGTCTATCACAATTCCATTATAGCTCGAAGGTTTATAAGAATCTGAAGACGTATCGGGAAAACTAGTCGGACGACTCTGAAGCCGCAACAATTGAGAACGTCGTATACGTAAGTATCGTATCAGATGCGTAAAAAGATCATTCATAAGTCCAATGTGTCATGTGAGTTTTCGTGTCGACGTTGTCATTCGAATTTTCTTTATTTTTATCCGCAGTGTTTTTTTGCGTGTCTGTGAAATTAGTAAGGGTGCGGCCCTGCTACATATGTAAAATTATAGCAGAAGAACATGTTCCGTTTCATAGGTAAGTATATGTTATGTTTATGTTTTGTTTTCGGGTCCCAGTGGCGTGGTTGTTATTCCCTAACCTCAAATTCAGCGTTTCAATGCTTTTCGATTTCAATTTTTGTACAAAGTTCAACTTATACCTATAATTTTATAGTTTTTTAACTTATCGACGGCATACGGTGCATATTGCTAGTTATATTCAAGTTATAGTTATATTATTTTTCATCGTTCCTCAAATGACTCAATACTTCATATTTTCTATTCAAGGAATACTTGTATGCCACATAATGTGCTACAACGTTTTCTCTTCATAGCTCTTGATACTTTGATAATTTTAAACTGTACATATCGTTACTATACAGGGTGGCGCATCGAAAACCTCAGTTTTTTTTGGAAAAACGCTCAGACCCGTCGATGTTGTTTTCGATGGGGTCACAACTTTTGCAAAAAATCACGTTAGCACGTGCAGCCCCCTGGGCGGGGGTGACACCAACCCTAAAATCTTAAATGGAAAGGGTGGTCGAGTGATACCTTATTTTAAAGGTCCTTCAATTCTCTTTATAATGATGTAAAATAAATGAGCTTCAGTTCAGTAGCTTTGAAGATTTATTGATTTAAAGCTTAAAGTAGACTTTAATAGGTACATCAGATTAGTTTGTACTACTTTCAGAAGAAATTTCACTAAAATAATTTACTTAATAGGTAAATGCTTTTGTTCACTACGCCCATGGTTTGTTTATCATTTTGTTGTTGAAAATAGCTATTGGAGCGTTTTTTTGTGGCAAAAAAGTTATGTTATAAAACAACACGGTACGTAATTTTAAATGACTTTATTGTTTTTCGAAGTAATCTCCACGAAGATTAATGCACATCTGCATGCGCTCGAACCAATTTTTGAAGCATTCATTCCACTCGCTTGCTGGCAGATCCAAAACGGCATTTTTGAATGCGTCAACTGGTTCTTCTGGTGACTGAAACCTTTGACCACGCAGTCTGTTTTTAATTTTCGGGAAAGTAAAGAGATCGTTAGGACTTAGACCGGGACTGTATGGAGGATGTTCCAATATTTCCACGTTTTCTTCCGTTAAGTACTGCCTTGTTTTTTGGGCTGTGTGCGAGCTTGCATTGTATTGGTGGAGGATGATTCTTCTTTCAGGGTTGACTTTTCGATAACTTTTGGCAAATGGTGGTATACCAATCCGCAGTAGCAGTTATTTGGTCATTAAGAGGAATTGTTGCAATATATCCCGCTTTTAACACAAATGTCGCGACCATCTTTTTCGAAACACTTCGAGAACGGATGACTTTTGTTGGCTTTTCTTCACCTTGGAACACCCAAACAGCCGATTGTCGTTTATTTTCTGGTTCATAACAGTAAATCCACGACTCGTCACCACTAACAATGCTGTACACATTTTTTGAGGTTCCGGAATTCAAACGGTCAAGCGTTTTTTGACACCACTTGCTTTCTGCTCTTCAGTCAACAGCTGGGGTATCCAACGAGAAACTAATTTCTTACTCCTAATTCTTCATGTAAAATTTTTTGAATTGAGGTCTTTGAGATCTTCCAGGACGCCTCAATCTCGTGATATGTCACATGACTATCTTCAATGCTGAGTTTGCGCACAGCATGGACGTTTCCTGGGTGACTGCCGTTTTTGGTGCACCCACCCTGGGATCGTCGCTAAGACTCACCCGTCCACGTTTGAATTCTCCATACCAACGGGAAATTGTCGACTGACGTGGCGCTTCGTTGCCGAAAACAGACAGTAACTCAGCAAGGCATTCTTGTTGCGATAATTGTCTCTGAAAGTTGTAATAAATTATGGCGCGAAAATGTTCTCGGTTGAGTTCCATTTTTCTAATGACTTGGTGACGCTTAAAAATTCACTGTAGTGAGAACACTGCACGTATTGTTGTGAAACTTTGAATTTAAGTTTACTAAGGTTAAGTGAGGTTAAGATTCAGTACTCTCGTTCGATCCGCGCGGCCTACTATGTTTCTATATGCAGAACTTAAAAGACATCCCTCGTACAAAAAGCTGATGCTAAATTAAGGACTTTTTATCTTCAAAAGAATGCAAGAATGCACTCTCTAATGAAGTCAGGCTGAATCTATGCGATTCGTTGATATTGTCTTCCTTCTCGTATGCTGACATTGTATACTGGTCTGATCTTACTACTACGAGTAGAGACAAACGTTCTATTCAAAAAATTCAGAATTCATGTATTAAACTTTCGTACGGTTTGAAAAAATATGGCCACTTCAGTGACGAGTGTTAAGCCTCTGGCTAACAAAACCCATCTACCACTTTACATCTATACCAAACTTGTTATATATAGGGAACCTAATTCGATCTCACTTAGCAGCTTCCGAAATAGAGTGAAATCCCATGTGAAAAGTGCACTATAGTTTGGTTTTTGTTGTAATAATTGCACTCATCATTTTTCTCTAATTGTTAGTTTAGTATTATTTACGGGGGTTGCATTGAAGAGCAACTATGTTGAATGACGGCTCCCTCGTCAAATGAGTTTTTTTTCCTTGTGATTCTTTTAACTAAAAAATATATATATAATATATAAAAATTATTATGAACATCTACATACATGAAATCATCGATAATTTGCTTTTTTCATACCTTAAAGCTTCTGTTGAAACCATTCACAAAGAAATGGCTGGCTTTCGGTTATTTGCATGAATAAAGGTGAAAGACGGACTACAGAGCGACAGGATCGTTATTTGAGTCAACTAGCGTTATGACAGTTTATCGCCGAATAAGGTCTTTTGGACTATTAACATTGGGATATATCAGCTATTTTGCGAAATTTCGAGTTTACATTTCAATCACAAGCTATTTATCAGTAGACCTGAAACCTGTAAAAGTATGCTCAAAATTACAGCACTAATATGTCACTAAGTATACTAAGTGACATATGAATCCGAACACCCAGTTTAAATGGTTTTATTTTAATAAAAGTTGGTGAATGTATTTATCTTACTGTAAATAACAAGTGAAAAAATTTTCAGCCTTATCAGTTGGACATTCCGGTTTTTAGACTGCTTTTTCTTAATTCACTAACGCTCTAAAAATGAATATTTCAGCCGCAGTAAAGAATCAACGTTGGCGGATTTTGGTTCTTGACATCCATTACGATCGGTTACGATGCCTAGAGTACGGAGACCTGTACGATTTCGTCAACTTAGTGAGTTTGATAGGGGCCGTATAGTGGGACTTCGGGAAGCTGGACTTTCTTTTCGGGCAATTGCAGTTAGAGTGCAAAGAAGTGTAGACACTGTGGTTAGGTCCTCCCTTTAACTCGAGAACACCCACGTAATCGCCTTGAGTGGTGTAGACAACGGTCACTCTGGGATCAGGAATTGAACAGTATTGTCTTTAGTGACGAGTCTCGATTTTGTTTAGGCATGCACGATGGTCGTGCCAGGGTTAGAAGGCGACATGGTGGAAGGAGGAATCCACAGTTTTTTGTTGAAAGACATGTTCATCACACTGTTGGAGTTATGGTTTGGGGTGCTATAGCTTATGGTTCCAGGTCACCTTTAATCTTCATCAGAGGTAACATGAACGCGCAGCGTTATATCCACGAAGTTCTAGAACCCCATCTTTTACCCTATCTTGACACCCTGGCAGATCCAACTTTCCAACAAGATAATGCCCGACCACATGTTGCAAGAGTCACAATAGACGTCTTTCAACATAATGATGTTACATTGTTACCATGGCCACCAAGATCTCCCGACTTATCCCCAATTGAGCACGTGTGGGATATGATGGGTAGGAGATTGCTCAATTTGCAACGTCCTCCTCAGACTCTAGAAGCACTTCGAGAGGAGTTGGTGGTTGCCTGGAATGAGATACCACAGGATAACATTGACCACCTGATCAGAAGCATGCCTAGGCGCGTTGGAGAATGCGTAGTACATTAGGGTGCATCCACACATTATCAAAGGTCAAAGGGCTTTAAAGCAGTGCAATCATTTTGAAATTTTTATCATTTACTTATTATGCTTCATTAAGTACTTATACAAAATTTTATTAAAATAAAACCATTTAAACTGGGTGTTCGGATTTATATGTCACTTAGTATATATCAACAGGCAATAATAATAATGGTAGGTTGGTAACCTGAGCGGTTCAAAAAATAAATGGAGAACCATTGGGAAAAATTTGTCCAAACGATCATGGTAGAGTAGTAAAAAAATTGTAGAAAGCTAAATAGTAAAACAATGCACAACCACTTCAATAATAGATGCTGGAGTATTGATTCATGTTGAATAAAATATTATGTAGCTCAACTTATAGGTGACCTTAACTTCGATGCCCTAGAAAATAAACTGATCAGTGTTTTTGAGGGTAATACAATCTCAGAAGCAGCGCGAATGTCGGAACACAAATTTTCTCTACCCTAGGGCCCCTGGAACGTTGTGAAGTATCTCGCCTCCGAAATGCTGAGAAAGCTAATGATATGAATCTTGAGAAGCATTACAATCTTACCACAAAACTGGAAAGCCTTCATTTAGCCTTCGGATTTGCTAATAAATATAGGTCCTATCATACAGCAGAGTAATGTGCATTTGATTGCTGTCAGACGTGTTATGTGTCCGACGATTTTCGAAATACTTTATTTGATACAGTCCTGCTAGTTCTGCCTAGCATTAGTGATGTATTATTGCAAAGCCTTTTATCACTTTACTAATTATAATCAGCTTTATTACGCAATACACTTAATAAATGCATATTAATTTTGAATTCACAATCTACGGTCGTTACGATAATTCCCAGGTTCATGAAGTGTAACGCAAAATTTTGTTGTAAATACCCTTCATTAACCTACTTTTTGTACGTTATAGTTATAATTAATTTGTTTGTCCCTTCACATTTGGGGACTCTGGAAGCTAATTTTGGCTCTATAGTACTTCTACAGTTCATGACTAAAAATAAATTACTTTAGTCACGCGCTTATCTACTCTATAACTCGAGAGCAACCAGTGGTCTTGGAATACAGGATGTTACAGAATATTGACACAGAAGTTTAAACTCGGATTCAGCACTTAGAAATATGGAAAAAGTTTACACAGGGTTGCTGGTAATTCACCGTATTCAATGTTTTTCGATTTTTGTGACCGTTCAACTATCACCCGAAATTGAGCATTCTGTTGAAGTTCTTTCAAAGTATTTACTGCTCCATCATGATACACAAACTCTTTTTAGTAGCCCCACAGAAAAAATTCGCAAAGTGTCAAATCCGGGAGCGCGCAGGCCAAGAAATGGGTCCATTGCGCCCTAACCATCTATTCGGAAACTCTTTATTTAGATGTTCATGAACTTCTCGTCTGAAATGTGTAGGAACCGCATATTGCCTCACATTTAGAGTAAAATTTTTTTGTGACGAAGACAATCTAAATAAATTTCAACGGTTAGTCGAGATGGAGGAAAGGAAGGTCCAATAACTGAACACCATGTATAACTCTTTGCGTGGGGAGGACTATATCAGTCTATTTGACACTATTTTTATCTTACCTTTATGAATAATTTTAGGTAAATAAGAAAGGTAGGTTTTTCATTAAAAAGTACCTCTTGCCTGGGGATGAAGTAAGGATCATGTGGCCTAAATAAACAAAGGGAGTCAAGGGTGACTGGTTTCTGGACTCGTGCACCAAAAAGGTTTTCGTTCGGCGCAATCCCGGATACAACGTATTTTTCATTCCATCTAACGCTCAAAATTATAAAAGTATTACGCAGTGAAAACAGAGATAGAAAGTTGAAATTCAAGATGAAACTGCTTGGGTACTATGTTTAAGGGCTCGCGCAGACAGATAAGCGTTCTGCCTTCAGCGTTCAAGCCGCGTTAGACAATTCGTCTTACGAGTTCTAACACAGACAGGAGGCAGTCACGAACACTGCGTCCCATTTTACGAAGATTACTTGTAGGTGAAACATGTATTTCGATATTTCGTCTTCAGAAGACGAAGCATTGCTTTTGTGGAGTTTGGAATAGTATGATGAGAAAAAGATCCGATTAATTGTGCGAGAGATGAAAAAGGAGAGTTCAGTGTTCTTTTTCATGCGTTGCAGTTTCTTTTAATTAATTAATTAAACCAACAGAAGAGATACGAGGAACAAGTAGACACAGAGCTAGACAGTAAAAACCAAGTAGATGGTGTCAATGAGAGATGTAATAAGATAAGGAACGCTATGAACAAGGCAGCCAGTACCATAGATAGCAAGATAACCAAAAAAATGTCATGGTTTGACGACGAATGCAAGGCAGAACTGGAGAAAAAAACGAAGTCCGAGTAAAGGCAATAAAAGAAAATACAGAAGAATCCAGAAAAGAATACTCAGAACAAAAGAAAAAACAAAAGCATTACTGAGAAGGAAGAAAAGAATCAACTCTGGAAATATCCTAGCTAAAATAGAAAAAAAATACAAAAACAAGGAGATAAGGAACCTTTATCAGGGCGTTAAACGGGAAAGGAAAGGACACCAACCCAAGACGATTATATATAAAGATAACGAAGATAGAATAGTAGCAGAAGAAAAACAGATTTCAGAACTATGGAAACACTACTTTAACGAGCTCTTAAACACAGGAGAAACAGCGGTTACTGAAGAAGAAAATGAAAGGGAGAGATTTGATAATATTCCAATAGAAGACAACGACAAAGCACCAACATTAACCGAAATACGAGAAATAATAGGTAGATTAAAAAATAACAAAAGCCCAGAAGCTGACGGCATCACTGCTGAAAAGTTCAAAAGTTCATCGAAGAAATTTGGATATATGAAAGAATACCAGAAGGATGGGCTGACGCAATACTATGCCCAATATACAGGG